TTTATAAAATTTAAATTTAAAATTTTATTTAAAAAAATTAAATCCTTTTTACTCAAATTAATAAAAATTTGATAAATTATTTTAAATTATAAAAGAGTTTATCTAATAAAGCAGAACAATATAAAATTAAAGAACCTTAATTGGTGTACACCTGAATCCAATAGCATAGTGTACACTCCTACATAAAAAAAAAAAAAATTTGGACCGAATGATGATAGGTTTTTTTTTTTTTTTTTTTTCAATGGGGAGTGTGGCACACCCCGGTGTTGACCCGGGTGTGCCCACATCATTTTCCAAAGTTGAATCCTTCTCATGCTTCACATCCAATTTTTTTAACATAGCTAGAAGTCTTATTAAGTCTTATTCGATTTGAGGGAAATTGAGGGGAGAGAAGTAATTAATATTTTAACTAATCAAATTATAAATTTTATTACTAATACTATAATTTAACTAATAAAAAAATTTGTCTTTTAGAGAAAAAAAAGTTTGCTTCAATTTAGATTAATAATATTCTTAGGTCCTCTACTTTTAAAAGGATGGCACTTTCATCCTTCTACTTTCGACTAATGGGGCATTTTTCATCTCCACCCTAACATGAGCATTCTATCTGATTTCATAATTATACAATACTTTAAGGGGAAAAAAAAAGATAATTCAAATAACACTTCTGTTAAAGTTCTTTAACAAGGCTAAATAGATTCTTTGCATAAGTTGATGGAAAAAAAAGACTTGTGCTTGAAGAGCATAAGAATTGGTGCTCTTTCGATAACTTTTCTTTCTCTTTGTGCTTGTTGAGCTAAAATTCGGTTCCAACTCTATGATAATGATCAAAATTTCCTCCCCCTATAAAGGCTTAACACCAACAAAGATATGAACACAAAGAAAAGTGGAGAAAGATACTTTGAAAATGCTTTAAATTAATCATTTTGTCCAATCAGATTCCACCAGAGAGCTAGCTTGCTTCCTAGCAGGTGATGCATCACTTTAACATTAAAAAGACTTGATAAAGGTATACATACAAAACAAAGGAACGTGTGGATCAAATTCATGAATTTTATAAAGGGCAATTTTTAGGGCATATTACGCTTTAAAAGTTGGATGCTGATTATGGTATTGCCATTCTCTTTTCTACTTTTCTCATATTTTTCATGTTTCAAATCTTCTCAAAACCCTTTTCTTTCTTTTTCATAAAATCAAAGAAAAAGTTTTATGGTCTTTGACCATAACCCTTTAGAAAATGAAGCTTTTGATGTAGCAGTAACATTGAATTCCTTGTACTTTAGGTTTTAAGTTTAAGTCTGGGATATATTTATTTTGTATTGATTTTTCTAATTAATTTTCTATTTGATTTAATAAATTTGTTGTAACAATTAATCTATATAGAACTGATAAAATAAATGAATTGTAATTATAATAACATGTATTCTGCATTAAAAAAGAAGACTTTGTTGCTTTCTTTTTCATCACTTAATAGGCTTTGTTAGGATGCCTTCAGTTGCAAATCCAATTGGGAGTAGTTTAATTAAAATATGATTTGTTTATTAATTAATCCTTTCTTTAGAGAAGGAATCTCACTTAATTGATGAGGAAAGTAAACTCATTTCTGATGCCTTTTTTCAAATAATATGTGCTACAAAGAAGCATTTTCGTTTCTTTTCCCTATGGAGAAAAAGATGTGCACTTTTCTTTAGGATGCTTTGGTAGTCTCCCTTTAATTTAAAATTTCTAAAGAATATATAAAAGATAATCGAACGACAAACTAAAGTACTCTTCATGGTAGCACCTTGTTTATATATATATTCTTAGGGCACTTCATCTTATCAATGCCAATTTTGAAGAGACATCTAGGTTCTGTTTAGTATTATTGTTGTTTCTGAGTTTTTATTCTCATTATTAATTTAGTAATCAATACAGGGACGTAGATTACTAAATATAGTATAAGTTACTAGAAAGGAAAACCAAAAAAGCTAGCAACAACAATGATACTAAACAAAGTTTAGATGGTTTGCTATTGTTGATGGAGGATCAATTCTAAAAAGTATCAGAAAACATAATTTATAACAACGTGAATGGTTTTTCTTTCATGATAGACAGAAATTTCTTTACTATAATATATGTAGGTTAGTCTAAACTATCACCTAATTATTGAACCTCCATTGTGCCAACAACTTAATGGCCCTTCCATTTGAAAATCAAAAACTTAAAAATTCAACTTTTATTGAATGCGAGTGGATAAACATAAGAGAGATAACTACATCTCAAGAAAAATTAAGGGGTTAGAGTGTGGTTATGGCTACCAATTCTTTTGTTAGGACCATTAAAATTGTATTTAATTTTATTGATATTTGTAGTTTTCTTTTTTTTATCAAAATACAAATTTATAAATTAATTTTAATTTATTCAATAATAAATGTTAATTATTTTATCAATTATTAGTTATTTGTAATAATCAAATCGGATAGAATTAATATTTTTTAAACCAATTTTGGTGTTCTTAACAAAAGAATTGATGGTTATAACCACACTCAAGGGGTTGGAATGCTTTAATTATTTAATTTATTGAAATATACTGGTTTAGAAACACCTTGAAAAAAAAAAAATTCCTCCAGATATAAATTATGTCCGAGATTTAGCTTTTAAAGTAGACTGTAACTTCTTGTTGTGGTTCTTCATTATTAAGTTGCTTTAAAGAAATGAACAAAGTTTCCGCCTTTCTTCTTTATTGCTTTATTTAATTAATTAATTAGTTTCTAATCTTCTTTTCCCTCTTCTTCATCAATTGATGCACGTTGGATGCTTTCCCAACCCTTAAACCAAGACTAATTAATTATAATAAAACAATTTATATCAGATATTATTGAGATAATGCAGCTTAATTCCCGCAGCTAGATGCATGTATATGTTATTTTTTAAATAATTTTCTCAAAATGTGGCAGCCAAAGATGTGCACATTCAGACACATGACTAGGAAGGTTAGCTAAATGGGAAGAAAGAGACATTTGTTCTAAGTTTATCACAAGCTTTTATTAGGTTGACAAAAAGTTTTATGGGTAACTTCTAAACACATTAAGAGCTCTCAAGGATGGACAAATGTGTATGCTAAACTTCATCTTTTTATTCCCATTTTGGAATTTGAAAGGTAAAAAGAAAGGAGAATTTATATTTTCCACTAAGAGAATCAAGAGAGACTTTCTACCCATAAATGATTCTATTGCCTAAAAGAGCAAAGGCCGAAGTTATCATGTAGAGTCACGTTAGACTCACACCATAATCAATTTATAGCTCTTTAAGCCTCTACTTTTTAGGCCACTAAATCATTTCTCCTCCTCCCAACTTGTTCACTAGAGTGTAATTCTTTAAGAGATTGCAATAAGATAATTTCTCATCAATTATCTAGTTACAACGATCGATGACCTACCTTAATCCAAAACATATTGTTTCTCATTCGCTAATCAGATGACAACTGTATTGATTGACGAATAAAGGAGGAGATACCTCATCCTCTTTGAGTGATAATTATTAGTTTAAACATGTATTGTTAAATTAATCACCATTTACCCATTGATTGCTCCTTAAATTTAGATGCTTTAGACCCTCTTTCAGACATATTTTATTAAACTTTTGATTAACAAAAAGGTAACAAACACAATGGATGATATTGCTTAGAAGAAATCCCCTTTCATTTAAAAAAGTTTGTGAATTCGAGTTTAAAACATAATTCAAGATCATTGCATAATTTTTCTTTTAATCCGCACATCTGGTTGGATAACTAGTTAAGAATCGTTGACCCTGTGAATTTTCTTAGTAAAGCCACTTGCATCTGCAACTTGCAAATATGGTATTCCCCCTAGAAGAGTAATTGTAGCTTCGGACTTTGAAATTAGGACCCTATGTCCTAGAGATATAGAGAGGGCAAAGCATCAACTTGCCAACTTTCTAGGAGTTTCTTTATTCATGAATTTTGTTCTTAATTTTTTATCCCATGATTCTTGGTCGAAAAATGATTTATTTATCAGAACATATTCTTTGACATATTCCTTATTACACTAAACAGCAGTGCGGGAGAACAATGGCAATTATTTCATCAAATTCCCTAGATAAGCCTCAATGATACCTCAGAGCTTTCTTAATCCTCAACATTAATAATGAGTCGAGATCTACTTACAAAAATATAAGTCTCAAATAAATCATCAGCCCTAAATTTTCAAATCCAACTATTGAAATTATGGTACCATATTTAGCATTATATCTCAAATCATTAGATTAGAAAATCAACGGCAGATAATTAATGTATAACATACAACATACACTTGTGTAAGCAACAATTATAGATAATAAAATACTAGATTTTCATAACACACTCATATCCCACAACTAGACTTTTAACATTTCAAATGTGAAATAAGAATTAACTAACAAGTAGTACCATTTTTCTCTTTCTTTTTTCCTTCCCCTTATTCTAAAATTTGATCAAACAAGCACGGTGTTTGAGTGTTTGAGACATTGAGCACTTGAGGTCATAACTAACAAAGGTTACAAAACTATTAATTTCTCAAGCTTTTATCATTGACTCATTGATGTGATTTATATCATGACTGAACTGAAGATATCTTGTTCACAACTTGAATAAACTATTTAAGAAATGAATGGAAATAATCACAGAAAGATTCAAAATATGAGCCGCAAGAAACAAGGATTATATACAATGTCAAACTGCCTCACACAAATTTGCATATGAAGTGAGTTTGTTCCCGTAGCCTTTGTAATCATGTGAAAGGAAATCACGACTCACTCCAGTTATCATCATCTTCGTCATCGTCACTTCCAACAGCCTGACAAGTGCCTAAGTTGTTAATCGGATTGCAGGATTTATAAGAGAACAACAAAATGTAAAACAATACGAGATATTAGAAACCTGGCGGATGGCATTTGCTTTCTCCAAAATTGCAGTAACTTTGACATTAGCAGTTGGGCCTGATGTGACAGTTGGTTTTGCAGTGACCGTCCGCCTCAGGTTGAATGACTGGAACAAAAAAGAATAATGCACAGGTTAACCACAATAAAGTCCACCTTTGAATCACTGTAAAAGCTTTATACTTCATGACAATGCATTGAAGGTGATTAGTAACTAAAAGCACAGAAGAAGATTGAGACCAGATAGTTACATCATTCCATTAAGATAATTAAATTAAGAAGAAACATGAAACATGCTCAACCTAAATGAATTGACGCTACGTTGCTACCTTGGTGCATAATCACTTCAACCATGAATCAACTTATGGGAGATGAACATTGCTGCTCTCAAACTAAGTTATTTAAAAATAAGTCCTTGTATGAATCAAAGATATTTAGGAAGCATTTTCTTTTCTCTTTTTTGCTTTTACTTGCATTTTGTTGTCTCTCTAAATTGACCTAGTTGATGAAAATTGATCTTTATACAGTAGAAACCATAATCTCAAAATTATATTAGGTATCCCCATATAAAAAGAATCAAATCACCCAAATTATGAGACTGAGTATTCACTTGGATTTGGCTCCTTACTTTTGTTCTTATCTGTTGCAAGAAGTCGTCCTTTTCATCCATCATCTTACCATTCACAGCCTGGTTAGCTCCTCTCTGCCTATTCAACTTCTGCTGGTCCAGCTGCTGCATGCATGAATTCAATGATTCATACATAAGCACTTCATGATTTTGCACTATTTTCTTTAATATCTATTTTTTCTAAAAATAGTAACATACCTTGTTCTCTAACTTAAAAGCAGCTGCCTCTTCATTAATTTTCTGTTGATTAGTGGAGGCTGGATTAGGTTTATGGGAGACAGCAGAACCCAGAAGTTTCAGATCAAGCTCTTGTCTGAGAGATTCTGATAATGTCTTCTGTCTTCCTTCTCCTATATTGAGGCCAGGTGTTGAAACCTGCCATTGTGCAGATGGAAGCGGTGGTGGTAATGGTATGGGCTCTGGCTCCCTAGAATTTTGCAATTCTGATACATTATTTGTAGTGTTGCTATTAGTTTCTTCTGGTACTACTTGGTTGATGGCATCAAAACTTGGGAGATCAAGTGAAGGAACAGGCACAGAAGGTTCTGCACCGCTCTCAGAAGCCATAGGTTTAAGTCCCCCATTGATATAGATACCATTATTGGCTGCCTTTCCATCATACAGAGAGCTTGAAACTGATTCCATAGATGACATTCTGCTTAAAGCATCATATAGCTCCTGGTCACTTTGTTCAGCGGTTTTGCCAGATTCCCACTGTTCAAAGTTTGACTCAGAGTAATTGCTGAGGCAATCATCAGACAAATAATGAGATGATCTACAGAAAGTATCATCACCGGAGTCTGAAGCAACATCACACACTGAAATGACAGGCTCTGGCACCAACTGAAATGAAGGAAACATATCTCTATTGCTTTCATGGGAATGAATCCCATCAGGAAATTTCAATTTGAGCTTGTGAGTCTCAAATCCATGTATAGGATTGAAAGATATTTTCATATGTCCAAGTGGAGGAGAAGAAGTCAGTGAGTGTGCTGGAGATCTACTTCCAAACTGTTCTTCGAGAATTTTCTGATATAACAAACTGTGCTCTTCACTCTTCTGCTCCATTACACAAGCTTTCAGAGGGTTTGCGGGTTCAGACTTAATGTCATTATTAAGTGACACATTTCTGCAGAAACTACTCACAAGTAATCTGTGGCCCAGTGGAAACATTGCTGTATCATCTTTACACTGATCAGATTCAACAGGTTTAGAGTTGACATTAGGATTGACTAGAAGCTTGTTTCCATTAGGTATTTCTGTGTTTAGACTTGGACCACTGTCATAAGCACAATTGTGACTATTACTGCCATGAGAATAATCACGTTTTTCAACTTTGGCATGTAAATCAGCTAGTGGAACTGAAACATTGCTAGCAGTCAAACCTGAAGGCTTTCCATTGTTCTCAGCATCTTTGACAAATGTACCCTGTTTTTCTTTCAGCCCATCACTCTTAGTTGTTAACAAATTGTTTGGAGGATCAACTGTGCGACCACTTCTGGATATGGAATTTAGACCTACAGAAAAATCAGGAGGTTTTGATGGCTCAAGTCCCAAAAGGCCACCATTGGTCCATATCTTAACTGAAGGAACACTGGAAATTTTAGGATGAGATTTTGGAGACTCGCAGACACTGTCTACCATTATATCACAAGGTGGAACCTGTGAATTGGTAACTCTAGAACCAGAAGATGATGGATCAACTGCGACAGATTCTACTTTCGAACCTTGAGCAATTTCACCATTGGTTTGTATCTTAATTGAAGGAACACCAGAAATTTCGGGATGAGGCTCAGGAAACTCTTGGACTGTGTTTATCATTGTGTCACATGGAGAACCATGTAAATTGTTGACTCTAGAACCAGATGATGGATCACCTGCAACAGATTCTGCTTTTGAACCTTGAAGAAATTCAGCATTTATGAATAAATCTGTCCCAGATGAATGGTCTGAATCAAAAGACTTACAAGAGAATGGAGGTATCTGCTTACCAGCCAAACACTCGGTGGGGACTGACTCAGGTAAACTTCTGGACACTCCATCGTTCGTTAAAATGTTGGATGCAGCATCAGATTCATTTTTAGATGACTGATGCTCTGCATTAGTTGCTTTAAGCACATTTATCCCATCTTCTCTATTTTTATTGTTAACATCTCTAGAATACTGGTCCACTCCTTGTTTTATTTGGAACTCAGTATCAACTTCAGATTCTGATTCAATAGTGTTGAGTGCATCCAAATAATCTTCTGTTTCACTTTCAATTTCATCAACCTGGTTTCTGCTAGAGATTGATTCAGGAGAATCTGAACCATTGAGCAGGATATCCATCTGATCAAAATGTCTAAGATTGGCGTGGTCTCTGTCTTGCATATCTAAATCAAAGTTCACCTCTGGAAATTCATTTCTATCAAAATGCCTGCCTCTGGACTCCACTATTTCTGCCTTCTCATCCCAAGTAACATAAGATAAACTTTGGGCAATCTGCTCCTGTGATGAACTAACTGAAAAGTCATCGTCTACAAACTGAGTCTGTTGAACAGGAAAATCTTTGGCGGGGTTATCAGCAGAATTTAGCACCATTCTAGATGATGTGGCTTCCTGTTTTTCAGGCTGCATGGAGGAACTGACATCAAAAACACAGTTGATATGGCCAGACCCAGCTTTTAAATCAAAAAAGTTTGAATGCTCTTGCAAATCATATTTCATTTCCATATCTACTGTGGAGGCAGTTTGAGGAGGAGAAGTTTGCTTGTTAACAATGGGAGAAGTAAACCGCATTCTGCATGGTCAAAATATCAAGAAAATCAATTCAATGAAGCTTAGTATAATATTCTCTATCTTGTATTTATGTGCATTATTTATATGTGGTAACATATGAGGTATGAATATAACCTGCCACTGCAAGAGTATATTGAAGGCGCACGTGATAGTTCTCCATTTCTTAGAGATGACCTTTTCTGTCCATTCTGACACTTTCAGTTAGAAACATTACAATTTGAAAAGAAAAATCCAGGAAATCATGTGCAATATCAATATGAAAGCAATATAAGCCAGTATTTTTATCAAAGTTTCATTTATTGCAAATGAACCTCCAAAATATAGGAACACATAACATGGAATTTGACATCTATGGGGATTAAAAATAATAAAGATTTCTTAATTGTTAAAATTCTATAAAAGGAGTGGTTCATTAAGCATATGTATACCTTGCTTTTGTGAGCCCTCTTGCTCCCCTGCACTTTGTCAGCAATATTTGCTTCAATAGAGCTTCCTGATACTCTCTTAAAGAAAGTAGGATCAGAATATCTCTTTAGACAAGATCCTGGCCCACCCATATCAAACCTGATCGACAAAAGAAATAGATATCAACATCCATGACCAACCTCCTACCTGCAGTAATGGTTCCTGGTTCCCCCTATACTAATTATTTGTTAAACAGAATAGTAGGAAATTGTTAAAAAATAAACATACTTGTCCAGCAAATCAAAACGGGGAGGACCACGGCAATCTTCATAGGAATCCATCATAAATTGTGGCAAGTCATTGTAGATAAAATGATTTTTTGCATTTTGAAGTCGAGGATGCCACTCACTACCTGCAAGACAACTGCTTTTGGTAAAGATTTGAATCATTTAAAGACTCTTTTTGCAGTCAAAATTTAACAGTTAACGCATAAGCTCCACTTTTATCCATAACAGATGTTTAACATATCACAACATAAATTAACATCTATCTGTAAAGCATGAAGATATAGCAGAAGCACCACCTAACAAGAAGATAATATCTGAAACATCAGTTAGAAGGGAATGCACAGTAGTAATACCAGCTGTGTAAGCAAAGTGTATGTGGCTTGTTTGGGAAAAAGCAGCCTTCTCAAGGGGTGGAAGTGCAGCTTCAATTTGTTGCACACGAATCATCAACTTATGACTTCTGGATGCTGTAGTCATTACTTGTTCTTGTAAGCCATGAAAAACCTCTGCTGCAAATCTACAAAAGGGCCAACACCCCAGCTAGTTATCACCATTTAAATGTATGATTGGAAATTCAAAAGAAGAAATTACATTCTCAGACTCCATACGGAAGCAAGAATACAATATGAGACAGAGGGGAGGTGGAAGAAATTCAGCTGCTTAGCACTAATATTAGTCAAAAGATGTTATTAACCAGGATGAAGCTTGACTAATCCATTCCATGTTCAGCTGTAACGAGACATTTATATCCAGGGAAGCGACTCGTCTTGTATTTAACATTATCAAAGTTTCCTTCTCTAATCATTTCGAGAAAAAGTAAAGAGAAATTAGGGAGGATGAATGAATTCTGCCATTAGAGTAGCTCCTTATAATTCCACAGATACATAAAGCAGGCGACTTTGTTATTAATAGCTATGACAAAAACGCCTAAGGCATTCTAAACCTCTATTACCTTCCCCCTTATCCAAAAAAGGAAAGAATGATACTTTATTAATATATCATAATCATACAGAGCTTAAGACATTCAATTCCCTCAAATTTTTAAAAAAATTAATAAACAATGTAGCTTTAGCTTGCCTAAATTCTTCCCCTGTAGTTCAATCAATCCTCACATTCTTCAGAGTTCAATCAATACAGATTATCAAACTCAACATTAAAACAAAAATCAATCTCCAGATTTTTTTCATGCAACACTAGAAACACCATCAATCACCGAAACTGAAGAACAAAATCAAATAAGAACACGGGAAACATACTCAGCGAGATCGCCTAATTGGCGCAAGATTCCGACGAGTCCAGAAACAGAGACGCCATCGAGGAGAGCTTTGGGATCGTCCCTATCAGCTTGCTTGTACAGCTCCGGCTGTCCCAACCGGAACTCATTCCGCAGCTGAGACCTAACCAGCGGCATCTCGAAGAGGAAGAGAAACGTAGGAACGAAGAGTGGAGGTGTAAAAACCTGCGAATGAAATGAATGGGGAATAAATTGGGAGAAGAACAGAGTCGGTAGGAGGATTGGAGCAGCTTAACTGCCGAGTGCGGGATGAAGACGACATTGCCAACGATCCAAGCCATTCCCCCTACGTTCGCGCCAACTTGAAATGACTGAATTGTCCTCGCTATTTAACTCTAACCGCTTGGGTGTTTCTAGAACACCGTGGGCTGCCATGACTTTTCGGTAGTTTTCAATCTTCTCGAATTTATTTTTCTTTTTTGAAATTCTCTCCTTTCTTTTTTTTTTTCCCTTTTATAGCAGTGTGGTGTTTTCTTAAACTTATAAGTTATAAGCATTCAGCTGTTATGCTCATGGCAAATAAAAAACAAATATAAAAAATTAATAGATTGTTTAAATTAATTTTTTTAAATAGTTAATAACTAATAGTAGATATTTAATAATTAATAATAATTATTATTTATAATTTAAAATATTTATTTCATTTAATAAGAATTAATAATTAATAATTGTTTTTATAAAGTCAAAATAAACACTGCTTAAAACTTTATTTAGAATTATTATGGATGTGGTTGAAGCCGTAATCTTTTAATTTCCTAACATACATTTGTAAACTTTAAGCATGGAAGTGTACGATACTTCAAAATGAAGCTTTAGTTTTAATTAAGGATTTAAGATTGAATTATGATCAATAATATGAGAAGTAAAAGAAGTATCATTAGACGTAACTATTTCTGATGAATTTTCTTTTTATAAAATAGAAAGAGGTTTTTCTAAGTTTTGAGCTTAAAATATAGATTAAGAATATAATTATTATATCTTTTTATATTATTAATATCAAAAAATATAAAAATTATCATTAATTTTATTATTAGTGTCATATAAATTATTTTAATTAAATAATTATTTAAATACAAATTAAATTTTATTTTTTAATTTTAAATATAATTAAAAAAATATAATAATTACACCCTTTAAGATAAATAATAGAAAAAA